GCAACGACGATAAATTGGCCTCTCTCGACGGTTTGTCGGAGAGACCTCTTCCGTGTCAATTGCGCGCATAATCGTGGTTCGCAGGGGAGGGAACAAAAGACAAGGGCGCCGACTAAAGTATAATTAAAACCTGTAAAACAGCTTCTCTTCTCGCGCTAGCGCTCGTATCGAGGGGGATGCGCGCGAGAGAATATGCTGTCGCGACGGCACCCTTAATGAAAGAAGCGCGATCAAGGAGATCTTAACGCGGACCAAAAATACTTATCCGCGGCCACCGGAATTTTTAACTAACACGGCGGCTTCATAATGTAGCCATATCGCGACCATTATCTCGCCGGAAGGAGAGAGCAAGAGCAAGAGAGAAGAAGGGAGGGGGACGAAGTTTACGCGCGCAGCTTTTACGAAGTTCCCCGCGGGCGAGCTTTTAAGACAAGCAGAAGTGCCCATAAAGATGGATAGATAAAATAGCGGGCGTACAAACGCCGTCTGTTTTCACACGCTGTGCGTACAACGCGGTCGGCGCGCAACGGCCGCAATAAATTCGCGAGCGCGGCCATTAGCATAACCGAATGAATTATTAACATAATCTAATACAGCGGGACGCTGTTCCGGGTCTTTAAACGTCGGCCGGACGACCGCCGTAATTACTGATACATATTATTTGCTGAAATAACAGGCGCCGCGAGCTTCGAACGAAATAGAGAGCCTCGAGAGAGAGAGGCTGCTCGAGCGAAGCAGCTCGCCGGAGATCCCATTGTCGTAGGAACACGCGACCGGTCGAACGGCGCTGTTTTTGGACGCGACCTGGCACTTCGAGGTCCTGGAAAAGCGACCGCGAGAGCAAGGACACGCGGATAAGTGGGTGCATCTGGCCGCGCACGTTGCACGCGCGCGCTTTACTTACACGCGCGGAAACCCTCGCGCAGCGCGAACGCTCCGACGACGGTGTATTAGTACCGGTAATTCCGCCACGGTGTACCGGACGTGGATCACGGTGGAAGATAGATGACATTGTTTCCTACGTCCCCGGAGAGGAACGGAGGAGAACGGAGGAGGAGGAGGAGGAGGACAGGGTGCGACGGAGAAGCCGACGCGCGTCGGAGAGAGCGCGATCCTCGTGCTCCGCACGGAGGGCGGCTCGATAGATTGAAAAGGGTGAAGTCGTGTCTGCGGAACTACGGGAATGAACGGAACACACCGGGAACGGTGAGAACGTTGAGAACGGTGAGAATGGGCCAAGCGCGACCGAGCAAGAGGATAACAGACGGGAGGAAGACGATCGAAAGTGCTGGGAAACAAGAACAGCCAGGTGAGACCGAGGAAACGCGCGGGGGAGCAAAAGTTCTGCTGGGGACCGCGGAGCGGGTCGGCGGGGAGGGGGGAGCGCGGAGAGATATTCTCTCCTTTTCTCTTTCTTGCTTTTCTTCTTCCTTTTTATCGCTCTTTATCTCTCTTCTTTTCTCTCTTACTTTCTCTGTTTATATATATCTCTCCCTCTCTCTTGGTCTCTCTCGGTCTCTCTCGGTCTCTCTCGATGCATCGATGTCTCGGTCTCTCTCTCTCTTTCTCTCTGTCTCTGTCTCTTTCTTTCTCTGTCTCTTAATCTCTGTCTCTCTCTCTCTCTCTTGCTTTCTGTCTCTTAATCTCTGTCTCTTAATCTCCGTCTCTCTCTTCTTCTCTTTCTCTTTCTCTCTCTTTCTGTCTCTCTCTCTCTTCTGCTCTCTCGTTCCGGCTGGCGCAGCCACTCTCGCTCTCGCCGACGCTCTTCCAGTCAAATCGTCATTTGCAATGCATCTAGGGGACCGGTGGGGCGACACGTTCGCAGAGACCCCGGGATGACGATGATAACAATGATAATGACGATGACGAGGCGGAGGAGAGAGCGCGCGACCGGGGCTCGAATGACGGTGTCTGCGGCGCCGAGCGAACTCCGGCTGGGAAACAATGCCAGCTGAATTTCCGCTCCGATTATTCGGCACTGTGTAATGCGTAAAATGAACGCCGAATCTGATACCACCCCCGCGCGCCTTCCACCGGTTCGTCGGATGGGACGAACCCCGGCGAACGGCACAACCGTTCGAACTATTTATTCTTCTGTGGGATCGGTGCTGCGAGGCGAGCGTCTGAAATGGATACGTCTTACGCCGGCTACCATTAATCGATACGTTCCCTTGTCCCATTAACGCGTCCATTACACGTTTCGAAGTCCAAGGCGAAATCTATAGACGCGTTCCGCTGCGAATATTTAGCTCGATCGGAAATCGATTTTCTTTCTTTTTTCTTTTTTTCTGGAAAATTTTATACTTTGGAACGCCGGTTGTATCGGAAATGATCTGGGGAACGCGAATGTTCGGATAAGGGAACGATTTGATACTTGCAATTTAATGGGCAGTTTATATATAGTAATTATATCATATTTATTGTACTATATATTATATATTTTTATAGTTATATATCTCAAGAACTATAAAAGCGCGCCGCGAGGGCTCGAATAATCGTATCTCCTCTCCCCAAATTGTCCACTTTTCTGGAGCACAATCTGAGCGTCAATTAGAGAGACATTACTGTATCCGATAGATCGACGTTTCCATAACCTAACGAACTCTGAAATATTTATTCAACGCGAATAAAGACTAAAATACGACCAAGACTAGCAGAACTAGGTGAAGCACGAGCGTGTACTCGATACTCGATTCCCGGTGTGTTGCACACGCGATGCCGCCATTTTGGAATGCCCATTTGAAATTCCCCAGGGTCGGTGTACGCGGTGTTACCGGGCCGTTTAACTAGCGAGACGCGACACACGTAGCGCGGATATCCGTCGAAGAAATTTACAGAAACTTCCGCGAACATTCTCCAATAATTCACGGGCCGTTCTGAATGCCATCCTCGAGATCGGCGCCATGGGAGGGTGTCGGATCGTAAATCTTGTTCTTGACCCGCGCTCGAACGGTATAAATCCGGTGGACCGGCGGCGTTCCACAATTTTTATTTCTTCCACGAGGGGCCAGGCTTTATCCTAAAATATTATATCCGGAGTTTAGGGGAGGGGGGGATCCGGCGCGAGGGCGAAGGTGCCAAAAAGGGTGGCGGACAAAGGGTAGACGCGCGCCGAAGGGCGACGCGGTAACCGCGTTTCGCCGGGTCGAGGTGGAGCGGAGGGAGGGCAGGGAGACACTTGTAAATTCGATTAAACGGATCGAGAGATTCGCCGTGAAGAGTTTGCCTCCTCCCCTCCCCCGCGAAATTTATCGCAAAAACTAAACGGCCGTTTTATATCGAGAGTTATAACTAAACTCGGCTGGCCGTAAAAAGTTTGAACACGCCGGCGAACAATACACACCCGGCTCGTAAAGAGCGGGTTTCATTGCAAACGGAATATTTTCCACTTTTTCTTCTTCTATTTTCTTCGCCCGTCTTTTCTTCCTTTTTTTCTCTGTTTTTTTTTTCTTATACGGAGAAATAAAGGTATCGGCGCTCGTTCTTACGCCCGACAGATCAACGAAATTTATGCACCGACGCGTGATATTTACTGTTTTACGCGTCAGCGACGTAAGATTATTGTTTAGATTATTCGCTTAATTGCGACGGCAATTGTTGAATCGGTAAAAAGACTTGTTTCACGCTTGTTCGACGATGTTTCGGATTGTTTAACTCTCATCTGTCGCTGATTTCTGCAGCTTGATCCTTGATATGAACTTGGCAGAAAATTAATGAGAAGAAACGATGAGTGATTAACTCGAACGGATGATGATTAATACAAAAAGCTGAAGTAACTAGAATTTGTAAAAAAAAAAGAATGTATCGGGTCGTTCGAAAAGCTATTTCGTTCTTTCGCGTGAAACTGAAGGACGAGTTTTTGAAGTTTAGAGTGAAATAAAGCTTGACATTTTTCTGGTATGCTCGTAGAAGTCCCGTTTTTATCGGAGAGATACTGAATCAAGTGTTCTTTTTTTTTAAACCCTCGGTAAAAACGAGATTTAAAAAAGAAACGAAATGTTCCGAACGGCCCGAATAAATTGCAAAGTTTTATTACGTTCTCAATATTATATTATATATATAATAAATACTAAAAAATAACAATAAATACTAAAAATGAATAATCGTATCTGCTATTCCCTAATTGTCCATTATTGCTGAGGGACAATCGGAGAGAATTCGCAGCAAATGTAAATTCAATATGGAATCAGCGAACGGTTACTTTCTTCTCGGAGCTAAAAGTTTCGTATCACGTGCGAAAGAATTGGCTGTGCACGTACCGTATGCTAATTCCGTAAGAGACAAAAGCTATACGGCTGTTTGTAATGTACACAATATCGTCGACTTTAATCTCGTAGAAAAATGCGAGCGGACGACGCTCGACGATAATATCTCATTTTCGCTTTGTACTTCGGCAAAGCGGCGCGAGTTCAACGAAAAAAACACGGAAATTGCAAGAGGAACTCTCGTCGCCGGGGACTGCATAAAAGCCCGCCGAGACATCTGCAACGACGACCAAACGACACAATGTTTTCTTTGTCGCAGCGAAAAGAATCGCTGCCCGTTTTACAGCTTTTCCGCGCGGAGAACTCATTACCTAGCTATAAACTCGTTTGCGCTCGTTTCACGACATTTAAACAATTACCAAAACCGAGCATGCTTTGAATTGATTTTTTCGGTTTGAAAATTTACCGCGAAAAAATAAAATATATTTTTATTAAGTTCGCTCACAAATAACGCGTGTTCTCGTTTCCTGAATTACGATTCAAATAATCGGGATCTTTCACCGCTAGGAAATATATTATCAATTCATGAAAACGGTACATGACGCGCCATCTGTGGTCGACGCGTCAACTATTTCTCCGAACGATTGGTCAGATCATTCTCTACGTTACCGCATCGAATGTTTCAAGTCTCCACCGTAAGGGGGCTAAGGTTTCCTGTTTCTTTTAGTTCGCGATACACATCCGGTACGTGTTACGGTGTCTGATTCCCGTATATATTGTTTAAATAATGTTAAAATAATTGAAACAATAGAATAATAATAGCCTCGAGTTCTCTATAATTGTCCTGTGATATCGCGTAAACGTTCTCGTTACAGAATTTCTCGTTTTTTTTTATTGATCCGAACGGATTACGGCAGCCTGTGTTTCACACAGCAATCGTAGTATAACAACAAGAACGTGTACGCTGTCGCAAGTTTATAAAAAATAAAAATTTATATAAAATTAAAAGTACCGAACAGTGAACGCTTCGTTTTGATGTCAAAGTGGTGTCTTGTTTTGTTTTCTGTTACAATTCGAACATCAGTTTGACATAACCAAAAAACCCTGCCAACTTTTTAATTATAGTTCAACGACATTATCCGTAATATTTGAAATTTATTGTCGCTGCTGGATTCACAGGTGGGAAGGTATGTCGAAAAAGACTAATCCATTTGTTTTTTTATTTTAGAAATGGCAGACACACCTGCTGAAACAAAGTCTAAAACGAAACCAACCAAGAAACCAAAGGAGACTCCAGCGGAACCTCCTGCATTGAAAAAAAGGCCCTTCAAAAGGCATGGGCGTCTTTATGCTAAAGCCATTTTTACAGGCTATAAGCGTGGACTTCGCAATCAACATGAACACACAGCGCTGCTTAAAGTTGACGGAGCAAAAAGCATACGTGACTCGGACTTTTATGTAGGAAAACGATGCGTTTATGTATATAAGGTAATTTATCGTGCTTTTATATTATTTCTTTGGCGCAGTTAACTTCTTTTTGGAACGCTCGTAACTTACTATTCACATGTAACTCAATTGTGATTTTCTATTACAGGCAAAGAATAAGACACCTGTTCCCGGCAAGAAGGGAAGGAAAACAAAAGTTAGGGCTATCTGGGGCAAAGTAACTCGACCTCATGGTACCAGTGGTTCAGTACGGGCTAAATTTAAGAGAAATCTGCCGGCTAAAGCTATGGGCCACCGTATCAGAATTGTAAGTTGTTTAATATCGAATGAAATGCTTACTAAAATGTCCAATTATTATTGAACGATATCTAAACTCGATCATTTTTTTTCTGTTACAGATGTTGTATCCCAGTCGGATATAAATATTTCTTGTATAAAATAAGCAAATAAATAACCACTTTGGTACTAAATAAAATAATTTTATTTTCTACCTGTCTGATATTTTATAATTGACGTTCTATGTTAATATATACTTTCGCATATATATATAGTCTTACTTTTTCTATACTAGCGTCCATAAATTCCTTGTAACCTCAAAACACTGTCGATAAAACATAACCTAAAATTTATTCGTTAAAATTAACACCGCGGTTTCTATAGATTGCATATATCTGAAAGAGCTAATTTCAATGTAAAATTTGTTAGGAAATGAACCATAATTGTTTAAAATATTTCAGTTTTTAATATTGATTCGACAGATTTGGAAGGAAGCCATTTTCTATGATATATACACACATGTGTAGTCTACCTACACGTTAAAATTTGTATCATCGTTGAAATGTACATACGTAGCATCAAGCTGTTATCATATCTAGGAGTTGTGTAGTGTCTAAGTTTCCTGTAATAGAAGCAAAAATTGGGAAACGTTTGTGGTTTCATTTTTGCAGGAGAAAAAAAGATATTTTTTCTCCTCGAGCTAACATGATGCCGTATCGGCTTATTTGAACGAGCTAAAGGAAACCGAGCAAGAATGATGTTTTGCTGTCTCAGAAATTGTTTTGACGGCCTTGGTTTTGCCGAAGCTCAAACATCAAAGGAACATCCGAATCCTATAGCTTTAGATACATCTCACATGGGTAATTTTAATACTGAATAATTTTTACTAGCACTTTATACAGTATTTTTTGAAATGATAACCATTTATAGTATCAAATTTACATAATCTGTTTGTGTAAATAGTGTGTTAGTTTTGCGTTCTCAGTTCTAACGCATCGTTAAAGAAAATAATAATTTTGTTACATCTAATCTGTGTAAATAGAGCTTGTATTATATTCGTACAGGACACGAAGTTGTGATAGTAAAAGATGGTCTAAGAGTGTGTGGTTGTGGTGGTGCCTTAACAAATGCTCCTCTTGTTCAAAGTAAAAGCTATTTTGAAGTTAAAATACAACAAAGCGGTATATGGGCGGTTGGACTAGCTACGAAATCAACGGATCTAAATATTGCAACTGGAGGAAATGATGGGGAAAGTTGGGCTCTTAATTCTGACGGCATTATAAGGCATAATCAACAAGAATTACATAAAATTCAGACTCTAGTTCAAGAAGGAGATATTATAGTAAGTAGAAAATTATAATAAGGACAACTTCGTTTATTAATCGTTCTTTTTCATTGTCAGGGTATATCTTATGACCATGTAGAACTTAATTTCTATATAAATGGAAAGTCTACGGAAACTCCTATAATAGGGATAAAAGGAACTGTGTATCCAGTACTTTATGGTAATATATTATAAATAAAACAATTTCTGATTCAGTAGTATTTTAATACATAACTACAATCTTTCTTTACAGTGGATGATGGGGCCATTTTAGATTTAATTGTGGATAACTTTTTTCATCAATCACCTGCCGGTTTTGAGAAAATTATGTTGGAGCAATCGTTGCTTTAGCAAAATGAACTAACATGACAAAAGTTAATCCCTTTATTGATCTGAAACATCAAAATGATATATGTCCATCCTACGCTAATGTAACAGAAAGAACAAAGTGGGAAATTATTCTAATCTTAACAGAAAGTCGTAAGATATAACTCTATGAAGAACAAATTCTTTTAATAATAATGTATAAATATATTTAATTAGCAATTGCAAAATAAACACCTTAATTTATATCTTATTTTTTTTTTCAAATAACACCTTTAGGACAATGTTTACAGTAATTAAGGCTAAACTGTAATGTAAAGAAATTATTGCCTAACTTGGGTTAGTATTTCATTGGATTTTATATTTATAAAAATAACTGAACACTTTTTCTTGTATAATTATTTAATAATCAAATAACATAATTTTAAATATGTGTGTACAACTTACATATAATATTTTTATATATATAATATATATATATATTTTTTTATGTATTTATATATGTCTGTATAAGATTGTATATAATATTGTATACACAACAATTTATTGTTCCTTAAAGAATTAATGGTATGGTATGTACACTGGTTTACATAAGGTACCAACGGCTTAGGCCTATATATTGCTTTATTAGGCTAGTGTCATGGCTTTTTGTTTTCATTTTTTTTTTATATATATAACTGAATCCCGTGCTAAGAGCTTGATATTGTACACATTTAAGCTAATCACTCACTCACACTAAATCAATGAGTATGTGCACATTTTTACAATGTTAGTAACACAGACACTCTAATAAATTGTATCATTGTTTACAATGGTCGCGAACATTCTCTGGCATACATTTGATCACACCAACACGCAGAATAAAAAAGTGGCAGAGAAACATAGCAGTTATTAAAACCTAAGACATTGTTAAAATAGTAGGTGGTATCTCTAATTATGTTGCATCTATGTATTTCAAAATACTGCACACCCTGTGTGATTTAGTTCCATTATTTCTGATTAATTACGAGAATGTCGATGCATCATAGAGATAGATACGCAAAAATAGCATTATATTATTAAAAGTATGCATCAGTGTATTAATTTCTCCGAAAATCATTCGCGTTCGGTCCAAGTGGATACTTCTAATTATTGTAATTATTGTACCTATATGTTTAATGGAAACATGTGTAACACACTTTTCCCATTTAAATTGCAATTATAACAATCGCTTTATTTAAGAACATATAAAAGGTTTTTTTATACAATTGCTTGTGACAAGCTCTCTGCACCTTTGTTAACACTTATTAAATCTTTGGTCCTTAACATTATTTTTAAATGATCATTATCACTAATAATTTTACATGCTTAATATTACGTTTACAGCTAACAAATAGATTGTTCACAAGTTGTTGATCTATACATGATAGCAATTTTAAGTTAACTTTTGCTTACAGCTTTGCATATTTTAAAGAAACAATACTAGTCATTGAAAGCAAAATGTGTAGAAAATTAAGCTTGGTTAATTAATTTCGAGGAATATCGGTAAATATTAATTGTTCACAATCACTATCTAGAAATCAACAACTAGTTATGTAACATAGGCCAAGATAAACTGTAGTTTCTAAAATCTCAGCTGAAAAACATTTATAAATATTTATATTAATACAAATAGTTCGTTATGGCAAATATAAAAAGAAAAACAGATCAATTTCTTCTGTGTGGTTCATGGCACTCACTTGTGATACAAATTAAAATACGTGATAGTCATATAAAGGACGAATAGCATATTAAAGAGAGCATTTGCAAT